TCAGAAATAGTTGATCTAACAATTACAAATTTCGACAAAATGATTTTATAATGGGACTGTAACATCTTCCAAAAATTAAAACGGTAAAAAAAAATCACTTCCAACAAGATATATATTCATAGAAATTACCCCGTCCGGCCCACATTTTTCTTGCATACACCTTCAAAACAAATAAATAAAAACACCCTTCAATTTCTCTTTACTCCTACCTCCAAATTAATTCAAAGCTATCAACTAAGAAACCCATGGGCGAGGAAGAGGAAAACGAGCCAACTAGCTTCCCGAAGCTCAAATTTCCGTTTCTACCCCTATCCTCCGTCGCCACGCAATCTCCGGACCACCACCACCCGCCGCCGCCGCTAGAGACCCAGGCTTCGGTGCCGTTCAAGTGGGAGGAGCAGCCCGGGAAGCCCCGACCCTGCACAGACATCATAACCCTACCCGGACCCGCCAGGCTCCCGGAGCCCCCTCCATGCCGGCTAACACTTACAAAGATGCCCTCGCCCACCACGGTTCTCGACGGACCGTACGTGTACAGCGTGGCCCGGCCAAGGTTCTCCTCCTTCCGGCTCTTCAGGGAGCCGTTCGACGGCATCGGCGACAGCCCCCGCGGCTCCATGGACGGGCCGGTCGGAGACGGTGGGGCCCACAAGAGGAAGGGGTTTCTTGGCCGGGGCTTGATGAGGTTCAAGGGCGATGGGAGGTCGACGGAAGGTGGCAGGGGTAATTCGGGGTTTTCATCACCGGCCTCGGCTGAGGGGAAGCTGAATAGAAGTGGAAGCTTTACTAGCTTCTCACAACCTTCGTCTCCTCGTCTCTCTGTGAGTTTTTCATATTTATTTTTTGTCCTTAAGTATTTGTTGCCTTATTATTATTATTATTATTGTTATTATTATTATTGTTATTATTATTATTATCACCCCTATATATAATTCCCGAATGTGCTGAGCCTACGTGGTTGTTTCTGGTGCTTCGGAATCCTATTTGGTGAAGAATCAAACTTCGTAATTAGGTTTGGACAAATAATATTGATATATTAATAAATAATAATCTAGGTTCGGATATTTCATAAATATTATTTAGCTAACTTAGATATTTTAATATCACTTGTACTAATATAACCCTTTAATTCTTTGTAATTTTGCATAGTGAGACACTAAGTGACTAATATATCTCTAACTTTTGATTTGTTTCCTTCAATTAGCTATTGAATTGTAAATGTATCTTAAAAATTGATAACTTTTATATTTTTTATCGGTTTTACATATATAATATATCAAATTAATCATCTTTTGATGATCTTCGATTTGACATCCATATTCTATATATGAAATAAATAAATTATATTTATCGTATTACGTGGCTGTTTCTGGTGCTTCGGAATCCTATTTGGCGAAGAATCAAGCTTCGTAATTAGGTTTGGAAAAATAATATTGATATATTAATAGATAATAATCTAGGTTCGGACATTCCATAAATATTATTTAGCTAACTTAGGTATTTTAATATCACTTGTACTAATATAACCCTTTAATTCTTTGTAATTTTGCATAGTGAGACACTAAGTGACTAATATATCCCTAACTTTTGATTTGTTTCCTTCAATTAGCTATTGAATTGTAAATGTATCTTAAAAATTGATAACTTTTGTATTTTTTATCGGTTTTACATATATAATATATCAAATTAATCATCTTTTGATGATCTTCGATTTGACATCCTATATATGAAATAAATAAATTATATTTATCGTATTACGTGGCTGTTTCTGGTGCTTCGGAATCCTATTTGGCGAAGAATCAAGCTTCGTAATTAGGTTTGGACAAATAATATTGATATATTAATAAATAATAATCTAGGTTCGGACATTCCATAAATATTATTTAGCTAACTTAGGTATTTTAATATCACTTGTACTAATATAACCCTTTAATTCTTTGTAATTTTGCATAGTGAGACACTAAGTGACTAATATATCCCTAACTTTTGATTTGTTTCCTTCAATTAGCTATTGAATTGTAAATGTATCTTAAAAATTGATAACTTTTGTATTTCTTATCGGTTTTACATATATAATATATCAAATTAATCATCTTTGATGATCTTCGATTTGATATCCATATTGTATATATGAAATAAATAAATTATACTTATCGTATAATAATAACAAAATAACAATATTTATTAAAATTCATTAGAAAAATATAATTATTTTTCAATTGATATATTTATGTTTAATGTAGTTATATGTTGTAAGTTAAAAATAATTATTTTAATATAACACAAGTATGTCGCACAAATAAAGTGTCATGCTAGATATATAATAATATATATATTTTTTCAAATGGTATTTAAATTTTCAACTACTTTTTCTCATTAATTTTAGATCTTAAGAAGAAAATTAGCAACCACCCGTGTAATACACGGGCGTTGTACTAGTTATTATTAATGGCAAATAAAACTCAACTTTTTCAATTCGGCAAAAAAATACCAAACTTTTAATAAGTATTGCAATTGTATCTCAAAATCAGTTTCTGGTGGCGGTCCGGCGGGTGAGACATAATTGTAATACTTATTAAATGTTTGGAATTTTTTTGCCAAATTGAAAAGGTTGAGTTTTATTTGCAATAAAAAGTTAAGATTTTAAATGCAATTAAACCTTATTATTATTATTATTATTATTATTATTATTATTATTATTATTATTATTATTATTATTATTATTATTATTATTATTATTATTATTATTACAACTTCTTGTTATGTTATTGTAAAAGAATAAAAATATATCAAAATTTCTAGATTAAACCATCTCGATCATGGGCGCTATTGTAATAATTCTTTCCTAAAAAATTATTGACTTTAGGATATAAAACTCGGCTTGTGTAGACAAACCTTAATTATTAACATAAATTATTTTGTCACACAGTCTAACAATTATAGGTCTATCCATCGTATTTTTTGACTCCTCATATATTTTTTAATATAAATACAGTAATATTTATACTATGAGTGACATATTTTTATTTATATATTGTTTATAATATGATATTTTATTTCGAAAGTATGCATACATAAATATAAGGTTAATTTTTACGTACGATCTGCGTAACAATTTTTTGTTGTAACAAAATGCATAATTATGTTATTAAATATTGCATTCCGATTGATATTATTTTTTAAAGTGACATTTTTAATTTAAATAAGAGTGTTAGTGTGAGTAATGTTTTTTTCTTTTTTTTTGGTATAATAGTGTGAGTAATGTTATTAGTATATATGGTGGTTTACCCAATAGCGCTTGGATGAGATAGTTTGGGTCTTTTCCAGCTTAACCAGTGGTCTCGAGTTCGAGCCCTGGGAATGCAGCAGTCTTAAAACTCTTGAGGGAGAGCTTTGCCTCCCTTGTGGTCCTACCCGACTTGATTCTGGATTAGTCGGTTTCCATGTGGATCCGGAAACCGGAAGGTCCCTGTACCAAAAAAAAAAAAGTATATATGGTGGTTTTGTCATGTGTGGCTAAAATAAATCCCTAGCAACTAGGGCAGTGCAAGAAAAATAAATACGGGCGGCATAAGAGGTGCATGACTTTAATAATATATAATAATTTAGACCCCCGCAAAATAATTAATTTGACATACAATTATTTTATCCAAGCAATAGGTCGAAAATTCATTACGGGTAGACAGGCTATGTTTGATAGACAAATAATTCAAATTATAGCTTATTTTGTTGGTTTATAAGCTTTCTGTATTTAAATAAGTTATCGTTTAGTTGAACGAATTTAAAAAAAAAAAAAAAAAACCTCGAGCTTATCTCATAAGTTTTTGGGTAGTTTTTAAATAAGCCTCTTGAAATGTTTGTTTCAACTAGCTTATAATCAGCTAATTTTACCAAGCACTTTTATCATATAAGCTAATTTTTTCAACTATAAGTCACAAGCTATAAGCTCAAAAATTATTAATAAAGCATCAACTAGCTTATCAGCAACCTGGTCACAATTTGTGCACACATCTTTTAGTACGGTTTTGTTGTAGAATCATCCATAACTTTATATACTGACACGTATCCAATGTGTATTTATCAAATGACACGTATCAATACACCATTTATATAAAAAAACTATGGATGGCTTATGATAAAGTCATCCGATAGTTTCATATAATTTGTCTTTTTAGTATGT